TTTGGATTTATTTATATTTTAACTAAATTTTTTCAGAATTTTAATTATGAACTGTTTTCCAAAACTCTGTACCGTTTCCAAAATTTATATAAACCCTTTGTCATAATTTCCCGTTATTTACTATTTTTTATTTGTTTTATTTTTTTATTTTCCTATTTGTTGAACCAACAACGGTACACAGTTTAAAACCCTTAAAAATCAATACAATTTCAATTATCGAACAAAAAATCGGGAAATCACCCAAATATTGGGTAAATCTTCCCCGATTTTCCAGGTTCGTTATTTGGTCAGTGGTTTATTTTGTGACTAAACGTCAGTAAAATTCTATCTTTCAAATAAACATAAGATAAACGTAATATAACGATAAACTAATGGTGTAATGAAGGACATTATTGCATCTAATGATACAACACTTAAATTAATAATAAGTTTTTGTTTATTTTAACAATTAAAAAAGTAATCAATAACATAAACAAACATTTAAACAATCAAGGTTATTAATCAAAAGAGTCTTAAATAAAATAAACAGTTCAAAAAATAAAAAAACTTTTCAATTGTATAGCCTTAACCTATTTATCTTCTCTCAATGCTTGTTTTACTCGTTTATAATTTTTATTTTTATCCAGAACACGACTTGGTGATTCTGTAAACATGGACATTTAATTATAAAGTTGTGTTTTATGTTTTTGGCAAAAAATGTGTTATGGTAATCAAATTTTTGATCCGAAGTTTGTTTTTTATATTTTTCAAGTAAATTTTTGGTGCAAGATTTATTTGTCAAGTAAAATTTAAAAAAGTCGGGTTCGTTATTTTGTTTTTACGAGTAAATATTTTGAACAAAAAATGAGGGTTAAGCAAAGGAAAAATTATTTAGAAATTATTTGTCTAAAAAATCGGGGCATCCCAGTACAGAGTTTTGAAAAACAGTTTATTATTAATTTGTTGTTTTGATTAATATATATTTTATTTTTTATCCTATTTGTGTTTTTTTGTTATATTTTTGTAACTATTAAAAATAGTATATATATTATAAATTTATTAATTTTTACTGAATGTTATTTTATTTATTGAAAATAATTGTATTATTTTTTAATTTAAAAATATTATAAAATTTAATACATAATTAAATAATGTAAGTTAATTGTACCAATATTTATAATATATATAATTATAAATTATAATACACAATTATAATAACTTTATATTAATTTTAGTTATATTTAATTATAAGTATAGTTAATAAATAATTAATAAATCGGTCAATTTGGCTTTTTTTATTGCTAAATTTCGGGAAGAACTTGTCTTTCTGAAAATTTTGCCTTTTTTATGTGGGTATTTTTCCTGTTTTTTTACATTTAATGAAACCAATATAATATCATATTGTTTCTGAGATATAAACATCCAAAAATAGGTGATGATGTGGCAACCTTTTTTTCCCGATTTTTAGGCCAACACATTTTTGGCAGCTTGCCTCACCTTGGTTTATAACATGTATCGTGCATACAATTTGTCTGTATTCTGGTTTCAAAAACAACTCCAAACATAAATTAATAATAAACACAACGTTTTTCTTTTATTTTGATTTGACAAACAACGCCGGTACTTCTATTTAGGGTTTGTTTTATTGAATTTCAATTTAAATTGGAAAATAACAGTGTACATTTTTATCATACAATTTGTTCTATTTAAAATAAAACACTGTGGTGGTAAGGTAGTTTCAAGTCGGTGGAATATGTTGTGTGAATTATAATATGTTCACAGTTGAATTGTATTAATTTCAAAAGCTATAACTTACTATTAACATTTTAATTACAATGTTAATATTATTGTATTTATATTTTTTATAAAAATCATAAATTAACTATTATTTAATTATCTTAAAAGCCAAATTAATATAAATTTGTTTATTATTAAAATTATCGCTAAATATATCTATTTTTCAACAAGCAAACTTATCTGTAAAAATAATATTGCCAAATTTTTGCAATCATAGAGAGCAAACCATTTTTTGTATTAAAAGAAAACAATATGTCACTTAATTACACTTTTATTTATTTTAAATATTTTTTATATTTAAAAAACAACAGGAACGACAAAACAAATTTCAGGATTATATTTTTATTTCAAAATCCAACATTCTAAGTTATTTTTACATCGAATTTAAGTCGACTTGAGTGTAAATTGACCAACATAAGATAAAATACATTTTGATTGTTTATCAATTTACCAATCAAATCAACGTTTTAATTATACTTATAATATTTAATTTTTATAATAAATTATATTTAACATAAACAATAAATCAATTTATAGTTAAATATTATAATTATTAGAATACTCAGTGATGATTTATTAAATTTGAAAATTGTAATACAATTATTGATACAAAGCATTGAAAAATGAGAGAAAGTGATAAAGCAAGGTTTTATAATAATGGTTGATACTTGTACAATTTTTTGATAAATTAAAAAAGAATAACTTAAATACTTTATTTTATTTAAACTCAAACTTATAAATGAAAATGATTAAATAAGTGATTAGACAAAAGAAGAAAGTGATGTATCTTAACATTATAAAGTTTGGTGTTATGTTTCATTTTAAATAAACCAGTTTTAACTGACAAATTAAAGTTTTTTAAATTTTTATCGATGTGTTGTAAAAATGTATAGAGAAGGTATTGTTAATTATTAAGCTTAAAAGGAATATATTAATGATTATTAAATGTCTTTTAAATGGTATTTGTTAATTGTACTGCACATCTATGATTAATCAAATTTTTATTACATTTTTATAAATATAACGGTGACAGTTTTTAGAAATAATGGGATGGCATTTTTCGTTCTCTTATAAATAAACATTTCGAGACAAAAACAAATAATAGCAATATTATTAATTTGCTATTATAATAAAATTTGATTCGCGAGAAATGCTTATTTCTAATAGATACCATTCTATTGATTCATTATTTTAGGTGCCATATTCATTGGTGTTCCAATACCTTTAGTGAATGCATGTTACTCAACAGACTGTTGATGTTCCTCGACGCTCCAAAGTCAGTCAATTTACCATTTACGGCATCTTTTTTATTCAAAGACACAACGAGAGTGTTATCTGGTTTGACATCTCTATGTAATATACCGTTGTTGTGTAAATACTCCAACCCCTTTGCAGAATCCAATGTGATCTTTACTCGCATTTTAAAGTCAATTGGGTCGTTCTTTCTCTTTT